CTACCGGAGATGGTCAGACACTGGGGGAACACTACCGGAGATGGTCAGACACTGGGGGAACACTACCGGAGATGGTCAGACACTGGGGGAACACTACCGGAGATGGTCAGACACTGGGGGAACACTACCGGAGATGGTCAGACACTGGGGGAACACTACCGGAGATGGTCAGACACTGGGGGAACACTACCGGAGATGGTCAGACACTGGGGGAACACTACCGGAGATGGTCAGACACTGGGGGAACACTACCGGAGATGGTCAGACACTGGGGGAACACTACCGGAGATGGTCAGACACTGGGGGAACACTACCGGAGATGGTCAGACACTGGGGGAACACTACCGGAGATGGTCAGACACTGGGGGAACACTACCGGAGATGGTCAGACACTGGGGGAACACTACTGGAGATGGTCAGAGACTGCTGGGATGCTACTGGAGATGATCAGGGACTGTGGGAAATGCAACCGGAAATGGTCAGAAACTGGAGGGATGCTACTGGAAATGGTGAGACTGTTACTGGCGATGGTCTGAGGCACCGGGGGGGCGGGGGGGATGGGGGTTCCGATGCTACTGGGAAGTGGTCATAGACTGTGGGAATGCTACCAGAGGATGGCCAGAGACGGTCTTGGGGGCTGCTAGAGACCACTGCCATTACAGCCACTTTCCACATTACCCTTCCCATCCACACTAACAACTTCTGGGTCACTGGACCATACCACCACTATATATGAACGTCCATAGTTTGGAATGGAACAGCCAACAACCTCATATTAGGAGTGATGGTCCGATGACCACAAATCTTTTGGAAAGGTGTCCACAGACAAGGGAACTCTGAACAAAATCTGTGCCTACTGACCCTCAAGAATTATAGGGAAATTCTGTGCACAGTTACACTCCTGGAAGCCCAAGACACACATACAGAGACTTCCAGAACAGGCCTTCACCTGGCTCCCAGCATTACCTGAGATACTGTCGGGAAGGTGGGCACTGACACAAGTCGTCAATGTGATACAAACACACCAGGCCCTGCGGGCAGTTGTAACAGGCCAATGCAGACAGGAAGCAGGTGGTCTTGCACTTCTGACACTGTCTCTCATCATCAGGAAGCAGCTCAAAGGCTTCCCGCTCCGCTTCGGAGATCCCCTTCTCCATCAATGCTTTTCGTAACCTCCGCTCTTCCTGCACCAACAGCAGCATCTCCTTGTGTACGGCGGCAGCCAGGGTAAGGTCCAGTCTTTCAGGGCAAGCAGCCATCTTGCAGATGAGCTCTTCGTGGGAGAAGACGCAGTATCTCCGGAGGCGGCGGTAATGCTCAATACATTTTCTGCCTGCTGTAAGCTGAAAAGAGGACAAAAAGGAAATCCCATCAATTTGTGTCACCAACCAATGATCTTACCCAACCCATCATCTGTAAAGCATTATGAATGTACTAGCCATCACAGGCAGGTTCAACTGTAAAGTCCAACTCCGATCCCTACATTCTAATGAGTAAAGTGGATTTTGACTCCCCATATACTCCTTTGCTTTGAGTCCATTGAGGGACACGGGAAGTATACTGCTGCTTACAGGAGAGCCCTGACAAAAGGCCAGCCCAGAATTACTGCTTCCCCTTGCAGCATGCAAAGTATAACCGACAGCATGATCATAAACACAAAGGGGGGGGGCATGCCTTCATGGCCAATCAGGAAGCTGGGACACGAGTCATGATTTGACGCCTGGCTTCCTGATTGGTCAAAAAGCCAGACAGCCTGTGAAGCCGGTGTTCTTTCACTAGAACACCATTTTTACAGGCAATTAAGAGGCTGGGCGACAGGTCAAGATGCGCTGCCCGACTTCCTGATATTCGGGGCACAATGCACCGGTACTAGGCATCAGTGAGTACCGATGAAAAATATCAGTACTTGTACTCGATACCGGTATCAGTGCATCCCGTTTGCAGGACGGCACAGCCCCTCGCATTGACGGCACAGCCCCTCGCATTGACGGCACAGCCTCTCACTCACCCAGTCAGCTGTGCAGAAGTTGACTGCCTCAGCAAAGTTGTAGCCCTGGTTGAAGCCGCTGTGATAGGCTCTTGGGAATGTGATGACAAACTCTCCGGCACATTGGTTCGTGCGAACAACCTAAAAAGTAGATAAAAATGATTGTGAGAAGGGCATGGGTCAGACGGATCTCGTACGAGGGGGGGAGGGTAGAACAAAACAAACGCGATATTGGTCAGATAAACGTTAAGCAGAACTGACCGGAACACCATGAGACATTAGTGTGTTGGGGTTCATTAGCGTGACCAACTGATGCAGGAGATCTGGCTGACTCTCAAAGAGCTCCGGGGTCAGTTTCTTCATGACTTCTTCAAGCTGTTCGGCCGCAGAGGATGGTACCCCGTACCAAGTCTTGGGTTCGCCCCTGCACAATGACACGGTAGAATGGAATAGTTACAACATTTTATTGAAGAACACTGCAGGAAAAAAAAATACTCATACTGGTTTCACTCTACCTGGTGAGCGACTAGCCCAAAACAGCCATTAGCATACCAGTTGCCCCAACAGGCCGGCCACTGGGGTTTAAAGGAGAAGTATGGGGTCAGTGTTTTTGCCCATAGTTCTCCTAAGGGTAACGGGAGGACACAAACTAGCGTCCTCCCGTCACCCAAAGCTCAGTATAGAGAGAGCTACAGCTCGCGGTATACTGAGACGCCGCAGCCGGAACGGATTCCGAAAATTCTGTCTGGATCCACGCAGCCCCGGTATTGACAGCTGGCTCTGCCTATATAGAGGCAGAGCCAGCTGTACCGGCCCCCTCCCCCGTCCGTTCCGCCAGTCAGCGCTGGAGGATCGGAGGGGTTCGTGGGATCCCTGCAGGGAGCTGTGAGTGACAGGCTATCTGCATGTGTTCGCTCACTTGGCAATTAAAGTAAAAAAAAAATTGTGATCACATAGGAGGGGGTTACATCTGCTTCTGCAGCT